ATGACCTAAATGAAGGATAGTGGTCAGAACACCTTTCATCAGAATAGAAGAAAGTAAAATTCATTGAAGAGACTCACATTTCTAACAAATTCAGGTGGATCAGGGTCTTCAAGATCATTATTTTGATGTTTATTTACTGGTAGCTCAATTAACTTCCGTGGGGTTCCAGGTATTTTATTTGATCTCCTCTTGCCAACACCAGTTAACTTCTTGTCAGATCTTTGAATGCCAACATTAGCATTTTCCAAAAATCCTGTGTTGGTGTTTGCATTAAACCAGTGGTGCTGCAGAAAATATGACAAATGGATTTAAAAGTGTTTGGACAGAAAGAAAACACGATAGAAGCTGCAGTACTAACCCAAGGCATGTCCATTCTCTTTAAAAGCTTCTTCCTCATTTTTGGAAACTGGAGGACAATAAGAATGGCCATTTCTTCACGCATTAGAACTGGATTAGCTTCCAAACTAGAAATAAAAAGCGTGGACAATAAGAGGACTTTCAAGATAAATAACAGATTACAAAAAAGGAACAATACATACTTAGATTTTTGGATGTGATGCACCAAAATGTTTGCCATTGCTTTTCGTGGCTTGTCATCAAGAAATCCGTCTCTCTCCAGAGTAGTTGCAATAAGATTTCCATTGCGGTTGGCCCGTAAAATATTCATTAGATTAAATTCCTATGAATAAATAGAAATGTTAGGTTTCCTTCTTTTACTGAAATGGGCAAAAGTGGCATGAAAACTTACACATTTTAGATTCTTAGCAGCAGTTTGAATCAAATTATTAACCTGAAATAAGTTTCTGAGTAAAATGTGGTTTAAGCTCCTCAGAAATCAGTCACAAATGAATGAATACATACCCTTTCATCAGAATTCAAAGCATTCAAATCAAGAGGCGCTGAAGAGGAATTCATGGTAGTACTGGAGCAAGCTGCACCCGATCTCTGAATGTGAAACAAACAAAATTGTTTGTAATGGTTTGGTAAAGATACCACTGACTTGCTCTACAGGTAACCTGGATGACTTCAGAACTTGACAGACGTAACAATATATACCATGGCACTTGAAGTTGGTTGTTGCGAGGCCGAGGTAAAAGTAGGTTGTTGTTGTGAGACCGAGTTACTTGAAGATTGTTGTTGTGAGGCGCATGAAGATTGTTGTTGCGAGATCGGGGCAGTATTAGATAAAAGCTGTGAGCCACCACCACGTCTTGAAACATTCTTTCCTTTAGAATTGGTAGCTGTTGGAACCTGTGCAAAACAAAAAAAATATTTTACAAATTATGTAACAAAAAAGAGGTTACAGTCCACCACAGGGTATTGCTCTAGGGACATTCTTAGTATAAAAAAAAAGTCTAAAAAATAATCAGAAAGAACTGTGGAGAACTGTAAAGAACTATGTATAAAGGTGAGACTTGATTACACTCTGAAAGATGGGGCTACTGCTTGGTGGGAGATTTGATCTAATGATCTTTGATTTTCTAAAAGTAGGTGGTAGACATAATGAGCCTTCATCTTCTGTAGCACGTTGATTAAATCCAATACCCTGAAAACAAACAAAAGAAAAAAGAAATGTCAATAAACACGTTAATAAAAAAGAAACAGAGACCTTGAAAATCTGGACAGAGTAATGTGAGTCAAAATACCTGATTGGGGTCTGGCAGAGGCTCCATAAGTGTATCGGCAATTGTACTCGGCTGATGAACTTCGGTGCTCTCATCTCTAGTGGGTGTGGAGCACGAAGAGAAACTAAAACTATGCGCTGGGCTTGACCCATGATGCTGGAAGAAAAAAAAGATATCGTCATGAAGAGAAACATTTAACACTTCATTTCTCTAGCAACTTAAAAGCTAGCATATTGTTTTGTTTGCCAACTGGCAATGCAAGGGCACAAAGAATCTATTTTAAAACTAGATTATATTTTTATTATGAGTTTTCTTTATCTATCAGAAACTGCAACTCCTGAACTTGAGCTCTAACAATAATTCCACATTGTCTCTGAGAATTCTGTCTAGAAAACCAGCGAAGTACAATATATTGTGGGAACACCCTGACCAATGTTTTGAAACTGGCTCGCTAGTGTAGAAGCACCCTTACCAGAACAGGATTAGAGTGACTAGGAGGAAAATCCTGGGGTTGATGTTGACCAGGTGCCTGGAACACACAGAGCTTTAGTAAATTGAGGTAGTAGAATATTGATGTAGGAAGAGCATGCAAGCCAAATAGGAACTTGTTTTCCCTCATAAATTAAGAATTACCGAGCTAGAATTATGAAGAGCGGGAGACTGTGTCTGCCTGGAGCTGGTTGATGCATCAAGTGCCTGCAAATAACACAAAAACATTATTTTTAAATATAATAGGTTTTAAAAGCAGGCAACTTTTTGGAAGGACAATATTGCGGTTAATATGGTTAAGTATACATACATTTCTACTACTCTTAATAATGCTTAGTATGTCCATCCGAGACCCTTTCTTAATCCTCATATCTGCCAAGTCTTGGTCATCCATGTTCTGGAGATGTCGGCCAGCAATGCCTTGTTCTGAAAATAAAGACCTGCTCATTAGACACTTGAAATATTACTGACAACAACAGACGACACACAAAAGCCATGAATACACTTTCTACCAAAGCACAAGAAAGACAAAAAAACAAAACAAGATATGACATCATAAAAAAGCTTCCTAATAGTAACATCTGCCCAGTCTCACCAGCAGCCTTACATGTAAGTTTGTTTCCCTTCCATGTAAGTTTGTTGCTAAGACAAATTTAAAAAATATCATCACACGAGGCATCTTTCTTCAGGAAGTAAGGACTGTAAAAGAGGAACAGAAAAATTATTTCCAAATCAAAAAGAGGACACCAGAAGATATGCAGTAGTAGACTAACCTTCTGGAAAACATTCATCCCATAATTCCAACACATTTTTGTTTTGAGAACTTCAGCAGCAATTTTATCCTTAGAGAGAATTCCATTTTCTTTTTCTCAGCATGAAAGAAGTAAGCCTATTGGCACCTGCAAATGAAAAATAGATTAGATTAGATAGACAAGATAAGAAATAGCAAAAAGATTCATTTGTAAACCTACTGACTTACCACGCACCATGCATAACAATTGTGTGGTATTTAGGAATGCCACAACTTAGGCACGTGTTCTTGGCGCTAAGTACTTCTTATGAGAGAAAGGGCCAGATCGTTTCCAAATTGCAAGAAGGCGATATGAGGGAAAACTTGCTGGAGTCCTTATAGTGTAGGCAGTGTCTTGCTCTTGAACTTCAAAAGCACAATATTTAGCTTCAAAGCGTACTGTGTTCCAATCTCTGGTAACAAGATACACATTCTCTTGGTTTTCAGACACATAAATGGCATGAATTTGAGTGAATTTGGGGTGAACCCCTGGTTTCTGTAATGCAGTAACTGCAAACAAGAAAGGTCTGTAGATTACACCATGAAACATGACATGTTGTACACTATACAGACTGGAAGAGGTATTTAAGCCAAAGTCAATGAAAAGCTGACAATGAGGAAAGTTGTCAACAGTATCGAACTTTGTTCCTCTTTTCCCCATGATCAATTGTCTTCTGTCTTGCTGTTTGTCTGCAGCAACTTTTAGTTGGAAGACTTCCATCAAAGTCTTCAGGACATTCTTGTAGTTGTGAGAGATTGTTGCAATTACTTTAAAAAAAAGGTGACGGGCCTCATACCTTACACACCAATATAAAACTAAAGGGCCGAATTTTCTAATAATTTCTGGGTAATGCAGTATATGATGGTGTTTGTTTACCATGTGAATAATTTTAGGACGCTTCCTTTGATTTTGAGAATTGCGGCTAGTGTCTTCAACAGTGGGTTGCTCTTCAACTTCATCATCATCTGTATCAGGGAAATCTTGAAATCCTTCCGGATTATCCTCTTCTGCTTCCTCCTCTTGATCTTCTTGAATTATAACATCATTGGGATTTTCATCTCTTACTTCAGTCTCAGGTTGACCTGGATAAATTTCTTGAAACAAATTATGATGTTCACGTATTAGCTGTTCAAGTTCTGTGATATCACTTTCAGATATAGCACGAGAGAAAACTATGGTCATGATTTGATTTAGCAAACTAATCAGCTTCATAAATGGGTCATTATCAGGTACTAAATCACCAAACAAAAATGGGAATGCTCTCGTAAAACACCAAACTTGGACACCAGTTAGATGAAGGTTGTATCCATCAAGTTTTTTCAAGTATGGTACAGTAAAGTTGTCACGAGGCCTGTCATATTTATCTACAAATCCATAGTCAAAAAATTTGACACGAGACTTCAGCTCTTCAAGAGGAAAATACTTTTTCACACAGACGTACTCTCTCAGGGCCAATTTTAACTCCATTTTGTTCACGCCTTGTAAAAGATCATGAAAAATGTCAAATACAGAATGACCAATTGGATTAAAAAATGTCAACCCGTTTAACAGAGATGGTCCATTAACACCAGAAGCAGTCCTGTTGTCTTCACTCACAGCTGCCGCCTCAACATCATCTGCATGTTTCTCTGGGGTTCTTGGTTCTCCCAATTTACAACCATCTTCCCACATTTCCTGTCTGTCAATATAACACCAACGACAAAACTTGTTGGCTGATGATTTCTTGAAGCCAAGTAGCTCGCAAGCGGCCAATGAGTCTCCAATTTGAGCAATTAAAACTGCCTTAAAATTAACAGTTTCGCCATCAATGATAATATCTATCCCTTCCGTTTCTAGGTCTCTCATATCATTTAGAAAAGGCTCCCACACTCTTTCAGTTTTGGCATCATCAGCAAAGGCCAGTGCAGTGACAAAGACAGAGGTCAGCAATGAATTAATTTCCGGTGGTAGGTTCTGTATACCAAAATAAATTCCAGCTATTTTATAATCCCCTGCAGCCGCAGAAAGAGCCTGGGTTATTTCTAAATCGTCAACATAAAGCAATATTCTGATAGCACCTTTCAGATTTTCTGGTAATTTTTCATACAGTGAACCATCCTTGAATGATCTCATATATTCATCAGAACTTGGCTGCTCCTTAAGAATCATTTCCCTCAAACTTGGGTCAGATAACACAGATCTAAGTAAGTCTTTAATACTCACATATTGGAAAGACTTTGGTATCTGACGCTGCTCGAGGCAGGGTCTTTTAGGATGCTGCCGTGAATCAAAACCAAAGCCAAGAAACATTTCTTGTGGCTGCAGTAAACCATACTTTTCTTTAAAGACTTTCATTTGTTGCACTTTAGTTTTGAGATGCTTAAATGGATCAGTCAAGGTGAATGACTTCATAAGATTTTCTTTTTCCAATGGAGTTGGCTCAGGCTTGTCCAAATATTCGGATACGATGTTTTGAAGATAGTCTGATGTATCTTGCATGAGGGTGAAGGATTCTTGCTGAACTAATTGGAGGGCAGACCCCGTCATGTAAGCACCACTCCGAAGGTTTAGCACAGCACGCTCAGCAGATCTTGATAAACTGACAGACTTACTAACAGGTACTTCACAATGAGTGTCGGTATCACCACCATTGTCTGCTATTGCTCCATCATCTTCTGAATTGTTATCATCCACATTATCCACTTCCATGAGTGGTTCCAATATAGGTATATCAGCAGCTGCTGGGATTTCTTGATGCACGAAATCCCCATGACGTTGTCTGAGGTGAGCGTAAAGTGATGAAAGATGAATGTAATCATGAGAACAATCTCCATGCCCACAAATGTAGGGTGGCATATGGTCTGGAGTTTTCATATGTCTCTTAAATCCATCCATGCCACCACCCACAACAATCTTGCACTTAGAGCATTGATAATCAGGCCCAACTTCCATAGTTACTGTAATAGAAATAAAATATAATGAACAGATAAATACACTGAAAATATTGAGAACAATAATCACAAACATACAGCGCATATGTAAACTCTTCAAACTATTACCTGATTTTTGAATCAGTGTTGATAAATAAGCGTTTAATTAACAATTATCCAGAGTCAGGGATACTAGAAGAGATTAACCTGAAACAATAGAAGATAAAAATCAATTAAGGAATCAGGAATGAGGAAAATGTTTATACAAATATTGAGTACAAAATGATGATCTCACCAACAACTTCGGACATATAATCGAGTGAAACACATTTTATTGCTATGCATTCTCATCAGAGTCTAGTTCCATAACAAAAACAAATCTTGTTAAGAATGGAAAGTAAACATTACAGACAGAAATGACAGAAGTAATAGTCCTAGAACAATGGAAGGAAAGAATGAACATAATAAACAGATAAATACACTCAAAACACTGAAAAACAAATCACCAACATTCAGCGCATACCTAACCTCTTTGAACTATAATCTGGTTTTTGAATGAGTATTGATCAAAAAGTAAGCGTCTATCCAGAGTCAGTAATAAAAGAAGTGATTTATCTGAAACAATACAAGATAAAACTGATTTAAGGAATGAGTGACAGAGGAAAATGTTTATAAAACATTGGGTACAAAATGCTGACCTCACGAACAACTTCGGCTATACAAGATGCTCTCTTTGATAGGTTAAGAAAGACCTACACACAGGATTCTTTTCAGTTACTTTCCAGCAACACTGGAATAGTAGAACTCGTTTAAAAACGAGTGAAACACATTTAATTGCTATATATTGTCAGTAGCCTCTTCCATAACAAAGACAAATCTTGTTATGAATTCAAAGTAACCATTGCTGCCGGTAATAACAAAAGTAATAGTCCTAGAACAATGGAAGGAAAGAATGTATAAATAAATGAATGACAGAGAGAAAAGAGGAGTAAACTACATTCTTCAACATACCTATCTCACTAGCACCTTCCAAAACAATGGCCTAAAGGCTAGCCTTGATTGACACACCGCCGAACAAACTTCGATTTCAAAATAAGATTTTTAAACGTATTACTTTACAACAATACGAGGAAAACGCAAAAAAGGTTAACGAATGAAAATAAATCATAAAATAACGACTCAGAAGTTTTCTATAACATTAATGGTCCAATGAATTGACGTGAGCAAAGTTACGGCGTGTTAGTTGGAAAGTTATTAGGCTGCCACCGCCGACCACTTGTAGCAGTTGCAGATTGCAATTCAGAAATGAGAAATAAATCCGCGCCTGCCCGCGAGCCCGCGTAGGTTTGATTTAGTTTGAAAATAATAAAAACAATACTTATAACAAATAGGCACTAAATTTTACTTCACTGAAAGAGATTTTGTCTTACTTTTTTCACAAAACTTACAAATAATCTTTTCAATTGATATTTATATTAGGAAGCCATTTAGGTTAGATGTCATATCATGTGATGTCTTACCATCAGAAAAAGAAAGATTAAAAATAACTTGCCTGATAGAATGTTAGTTGCC